CATACATGTATGTATGTATGTACGCCTCTTATATAATATCTATAAGGTAAATACATAAATATATATATATAAATATACAAAATATGTGTTTGTATGCCGGAAATGACAACAATAACAACCGGTAAATGTACGGGAAAATCTAAAATAAAGCAGTGAAGAGGAAAAAATGGCACAACGCAAACGTCATTTGTTGCAACAGCAGCTTTTCTACTTTTTACACACACATACATATATGTGTGTAACTATGTGTGTATGTGACTGCCATGTGCTTAGAGCTATCATGCACAGGTGTACGCGTGTTTATATATATTATACTTTTCAAATATCACCAGATATTTATATATATATATATGTATATGTACACAGGTGTTATTTGTTACTATTTATTGTTGTTGTTGTCGTTATTGTGTTTTTGCTTGTTAGTTGCATTTAGTACACGTGTAAGTGCAAAGTTGCCGATTGTCACTAAGCACATTTTGTGGCAGTTCCCACATCGCACTCAAAAACGCAGCCATAGTCACACATACACACACATACACACACACACACACACACACACAAAACCTTTACATACATGCATGCACCCACACACACACACACAAAACCCTTGCATACATGCACCCACACACAAGGATAAAGCAACGAAAGTCATGCCATGCACATAGAGAAGCAAAAGAGCGAGTGTTGGAGTGAGAGAGAGAGAGATAACACCGCAGGGAGTAGTGCGTTGCTGTAAACGAAACGATTTCCTAGCCAGCAGACAGTTGAACGGACAGGTGAAAGGCACACGAACAACACACAACCGCACACAGCATACGAGTTTAGTGCGAAAATACATTTCTTAAATGAAATATGAATTTAAATATTTTATTTCATATTTTAAAATGATGAGTTTATGGCTGTGGGATTAAAAATGGTAGTGTGCATGGTACGTTAGGTTTGCTTTCTTTTATATTTATTTATTTATTTATTTATTTATTTATTTGTTTATTATTTTTTCTAGATAAGTCGAAAGTACATATACATAAACGCACACATGTTTCTATTTCGTGTGTGTAGAAAGCAATTTTTTTACCTTAACTCTCGTAAAATGTTACTTTATGGTGCAGCGTGCAGCTGACCGAGGAAGAAAAAAATGTTTTAAAATTAGTGTGAGTGATTTTTCAGCAGTGGAATATTTTACGAAATGAAAAGTTTCAACAAAATGGAGTTATTACCACAACTTGTGTGTTGTTTGGCATTTTCTGCACGCAAGAGAAAATTTTCTGTTGAAATTTCTTTAAATCTCAAAACCACTGCCAGCGAATTCAAAAGTTCGGTCGAGGAAATTCAAATAATAAAATAAATTAATATAAAAGCAAAGTAATAATAGTTCCGAGTGTAGACTGAAATCAAAAAAAAAAAAATATGTTACGAATTTGTTAAATTAAAATACTCTTAAATGCGAAAAACAGTTAAAAAGTTTATTCGTAAATGGTTACGATGGTGCAGTGGGTCGTGCATCAAAGGAACTGGCAGTAAATATAAAGCTGAGGAAGAAATACATACATTTTACAGGTTCGGAGAATGTTTTCAGCAATGACTGGTTGCTGGTCACGACCATAGCCCTGCCTCAAATCAATAAAAATTAACAAAAAAACGAAAATTAATAATTTTTCTTCATTGACATTGATACCATTTTACGTACACGAGGGGATTTACAAAAGTTCGTTAAGTTGACAAAAAAAATAGATTAAAATTTTATTTGCATTTATTCGTAATTTTTGTTCTTTTTTATCTTCTCTACATAATCGTACTTGATTTCAGTGCAATTCTTAAGCCCATAGATTCACTACTCAAAAAAAGGCTTCAAAATCTTGCTTTTTCAGCTAATCAAGATCAGCATTAACCTCAATAATTATCTCCTCGTTGCTATTAAAGACCTTTCCTTTTAAATTATTTTTTAATTTTTGAAAATAACCACAAATCACGAGGTGCAATATCCGTGGAATATGGCGCTGGACACATTTCTTCGATCCCAGAGCTTGCAATGAAATTACTCGTTCCTTCAGCAGTGTGGCATGGCGCGTTGTCGTGATGTAAAAAGCAGCGCCGTAAATTCTCTTTCTTCCTGTTTTCCAAAAAAATTTTAAAAACTTTTTGTAAGCACTCTTCGGTGTACCATTCTACAGTTACCGTCTCACACTTTTCCAGATCTGAAATCGATCGAGGTAAGTAAACTGACATCATTACTTTTGCTGCTGATTTTTGTTGCTTAGATTTCACGGGTGGATTTGCTCCTTTTGGGCTCCATACCATGAACTGCTATTTGGTTTCTGTATCGTACTTAAAGAATCAAGATGCGTCACTAGTGACGACGTTGCCAAACTTGTTAGACTGACCATTTTCGAATTTGTTGAGGAAAAATTGAGCTAAATGCACTCGAGCCTCTTTTTGGGACTCATTTAAAATACGTGATACCCATCGAACAGATTTCCTCGTGTATCCGAGATGATTACTCAATATTTGAGATCCAATGCATTCAATCCCAATTCATTAGCAATCATTTCTTGGGTCAAACGTGGGTCCTCGTCAATTTTGGGCTACAGTAACGACATCAGCAGGAGATTTTGGTCGACCTTCTCAGAGCTCGTCCTTGTACTGAAAAAAGTCCAGTCTGAAATTTTTTGCACCACTTAGAAAAAGTCTTTAAGGACGGTGAAATCGTTCCATCTGCAATTTGGCATTCACTGAATATTTGCATTGGCTGTAAATTACGCTGAAACCCGAAGAGCATGGTGGATTTCTGTTTGCTTTGGTGGTGGAATCTTGCGTTTTCTCGTCTCTATTTCAGCTGAGCGTTCTAAACTTTGAAAGGTAGACTGATAAAATATTTGCAAAGGATTTGGTAATTGAAAGTCACCAACTGACCGAACTTTTGTTAATCCCCTCGTATAAAATCGTTTCGTTCCGATATGTGGTTTTTTTTTTTTTTGGTCAGAAATCCGTAAAAAAATCGGAAAATTTTATCATTTAATCCCATCAATCATATTTTCAGATATGATTTGTACAGAGAAGTTCTTGGGCCTTTTCTTCAAGCACACGGCGCTATGAATGGTCAACTGTTAACCCTATACATCATACACAAACCTTACGGAATGGTAAAATTGGAAAATAAACAAGTTAAAAATGCTAATATCCTTTCAGAAAAACCGAAAGAAATAGAATAACCATTAATAGCAAGACGAAACAAAAGCACAAAGGAGTAAATGTTAAGGCAACGACCGTACACATACATACATACATACATATGTATATGCATACCAATATAATGCAATTAAGTCGAAATGGTAGAATCTTTCCTCAGCCACACATATGGGCACAAACTTACATACATACATGTGCCTTTGGATAAAAACAACTACGAAGCCTTGATATTCTCGTTAACTCTTCATAAATGCATAGCGAAATGCTAATGTTAATGGTAATCGTCGTGCCGAACACATTCGAAGAGTCGTTTGCAGATAAAACTCTTAACATGGAAATGTGTCTAACGGCCGTCATTTGGATAAGACCGACAGGCAGTAGCAGAGCAAAACCAAAAAAAAAAGAACAAGTAAAAAGCTAACATCTGTTCAAGAGATCATAATGACGCTTTATTGCCACTATTAAGTTCTGTTATGGACATCCATATGTAAGCGCTTTGCCAGTAGCTTTTTTATGGCATTAAACACTTATGACTAATAAATTAACAGACTCAAAGATGTACTGAGTTTAAATTTTTCCGTTTGGTTTTCACTTGAATTTTTTCTAAGTAGCACGAAGAGCAAGAGAAAGAGAAAGAGAAAGAGAAAGAGAAAGAGAAAGAGAAAGAGAAAGAGAAAGAGAAAGAGAAAGAGAAAGAAAAAGAAGAAGAGAAAGAGAAAGAGAAAGAGAAAGAGAAAGAGAAAGAGAAAGAGAAAGAGAAAGAGAAAGAGAAAGAGAAAGAGAAAAAGAAAAAGAAAGAGAAAGAGAAAGAGAGAGAGAAAGAAAAAGAGAAAAAGAAAGAGAAAGAGAAAGAGAAAGAGAAAGAGAAAGAGAAAAAGAAAGAGAAAGAGAAAGAGAAAGAGAAAGAGAAAGAGAAAAAGAAAAAAAAGAGAAAGAGAGAGAAAGAAAAGGAGAAGGAGAAGGAGAAGAAGGAAAAAACTGAAAAAACGGAAAGAAAAAGAGAAGGAGGAGAAGAAGAAGAAATATAAAAGAAATTCAGAAAAAGAAAGAGGAAGAAGAAGTGGAAGAGGCAAATACAACAAATACGAATACTTATGCAATACATATATTTATAGATAATAACGTTTTAATAACTTTTCGCAGCATGACTTCCAGTTTTTCCTTTCAACCCCTTATCCTGTGCTGAGCTACACAGCAGCTCTTAGTGCCCCGAACAGTCGATCTCGTGTCTCAAATCATGCTGTGTCACTAAGTGACATCCGTTAAGTATCATTCTTGCTCTGACTGATGTCATTATCGGACGTGCTCTAGCCTGCGCCGTGAGTGGAGGAACGAGTATCTTGTCCATGCTGTAGAAGTCTGTTGAAAACCCATACCAGTGGCATCGCCCTACCAATAGACAACAGCAATAGACAGCAGCAATACTCAATACTCACGTATCACTCCTTCAAACCACTTATTCCAAATATCCCCACGAGACCGACTAGATTAGGGGACATGGACCGAAGGTGATATCCAACTCGAAATATTCAATATATTTATATAAATATATATATATAACGCTCACCACGAGCTGGCAGAACAGATGCCGATTCGACATTCTGTATCATGAACGAAGCCGTCGCCACCAAAATTTTGAGCAATTACCCCAGCACGCCTGATAAACAGCACAGTCTTGTGTCTTTTTTACGTGTCCGCCAAATCAGAATTCATACAAAACTAACGGACCGGAAGCCGTAATTGTTGATAATGCAGTGTAGGCTTTTTTAAAGTTTCAACATTCGTACTTCGAATTCGAAAACAGCTGATTAAATCACAAGCTGTCAGCTGTGCGCTTGCAACCGCATTTCTAATTGGTTTCTTTGGATTTGATTTTATAAATTCTGTAATAAAATTAAAATAAAAATCGTGTCAATATGCCTTTTATGAAAGGTCGCGCGCCCATTCGGCGTACCATTGAATACTTGAATGCCGGTCGTCTTGTATTAAAGGATAAAGTGAAAATTTTTAGTGTGAACTACAATACACACGGTGACCACCACAGTGGTGCCAGGTGAATGTTACTTAATACATTTATACAAAGTTTTTGCATCGGATACATATTTTAGTTTACTCATATTTTCTTGTATTAAAATATGTAAATAAACACATATATATATCCACTTCTGTTTGCAGGGAACTTGTATTTTGGAATTTATGTCAGATCCAGTATAAAAATCCAAATGTACAAGTAGTGGCCCTTAAAAATATGACACCTTCACCTTTTGTACGATGTTATTTTGAGGATGGAAGGGATATGCTAATCGATGTAGATAGTCGGAATCGTGAGGAAATAATAGAGCATCTATGCAAAGTTGTTGGCAAAACAAAGTTAGTATATGCACGGTAAACACCCCAGTATTTTTTTAAATAAATGATTATTTTACAGAGCTCAACTGGATGCGGAGGCACATTTGGCTGAAAGTAAAGATAATCCAGCTAACTTTGGCTATGGCTGCGATCGACACTGCATATGTGAAATACCCGGCCAGGTGCCCTGTCCTGGCATTGTGAAACTTCCAGATCACCTGCGTGGAAAATTCATCTTTGCACCAAAGTAATATAAAAAAAAACTATTTCGTTTTAATCCTAGTATATGTATAAATAAAAATTCAAACTTACAATGTTTACAAATAAATCACTTTATTTGCCCTAAATCTCTGAACACAACATTTGATAAGTATACGTATAGTTAGCGCGCATATGAGTAGAATTATAAATATTTGATGAAATTGATGATAGTCCAGATACATTGTAATTACCACAATAAACAAAACAAAAACTACAAAAATAAATTACTATTCGGTTTCGGTGTCTATCTTCTTTTTGGCCGCTGATGCCGATTATAAGGCGCTGAGTTATATGATTTTGTGTAAGTTCGCCCACCTGAGGTACTGCTATTTGCATCACGATCTTTGTTAAATTGATATCGTTGAATAAAAGGGACTTGTGTGCTTGCTGAATTTAAGAGATTCAATTCTAATTCCTCCTCGCCGTTACGTTCAAGTGCACGTAATTTTGCTTCTATTGCGCGTATCGCTTCTTCTTTACTCATTTTATCATCGCGTGAGCTAGCACCTAATGCAGGTATTTCAATGCTAGGTTTTTTCTTGTTGAGCTCATCCTAAAAGAAAAATGTTGAAAATACGTACATACGTATACAGTGGGCCATATAAAGGATGTGCGTGTTTATAATATATATACATAAAGGCAATTCACTTACGTAATTAACATTTTTAGCCAGTCGTATCACAATGGGCCGATTAGCAACAGGAGTGCCGTTTAACTTCTCCAAAGCTTTCAAAGCCGCTTCAGCCTATTGAGGATATTACGTTTAATTACATACATACATTTACAATTGTTATGATTACTCACCGTTCCGAAAGTGACGAAAGCATATCCGCGCGATTGCCCAACTAATGGGCCACTCTTGTGAAAGAGCATATCAAACTTTTCGACGGGACCGCATTTTTGCAAAATTTTCAAGAGTTGATACCGATAATAGCAACAAAGAAAAGAAAGTTGACTGATTAGCTTTTTGCACACAGAATTTATGTAAAATTAACAATAATTATTAATAACTTACTCGGTGAGTCTGGGATCTAAATTGCCAATCCATATGCGTCGCTCTTCAAGTACACCACCACTGCCACTACTGCTTTTTGCACTGCTTGTTGCTGCCTAAACGAAAATTATTATAATTATTTTCCTTAAAAACAAAGTTTTCCAAATATTTACCATAATTTATTTATATTTAAATTAGTAAACAAAATTTTTTATAGAATCGCACAAAGGAAGAATGAAGGAAATCGATCAATAAAAATGTCAAAAATATTCGCAGTGAAAATTATGCAAGAGTGCGTTCGGAAAGTACTGTACACAGAGGTGCATTTGCAGCAGCATTTTTTTAATTAACACCGCTGTATTTATGTTCTCTGCCGTTGTATACTACTTATACTATGGACAAAAAACGTATTTTAATAAGAAAGAAAGACCGTATATTATTATTATTTAACGTACGTTCTTTGTCCAAACCTTTTTCCTTATATATTGTTTTGTGTAATTGGTGAAATAAAAGGAAGAACCAGAAATCAAATGATGTGACAATTTTACCTTCATTAATTTCGGGAAGAGATAAAAAACCTAAAATCGGGAACAAATAACCGGCATTTACAACTGTTCTCATCGCATTTACAAATCAGCTGTTTGTAGTGTCTAATCAAATTTAATAGTTTATAAACTGTAAATTTTGCCAATTTTTCTTATTTTCTAAATGGAAATTACATTGGCACTGCTGAAACCGCATGCGGTACGAAATGTATACGCATTCCAACAGATACAACAAATACTTCAAAAGAATTTTAAAATTTTGCACACTAAAGAAGTACATATTACGAAAGAGATATCTGAACATTTCTATGCCGAGCATAAAGGAAAATTCTTCTACAACCGACTTGTTACATTCATGGGCAGGTTTGCTATGCTAATATTTTGCCAATTACACGTAATGAATGATAAATAAATCCCATTCTTAGCGGACCTTGTTACGCATTTGTTCTGCAATCCAAAAATTGTATTGCTAAGTGGCGTGAATTGATGGGGCCAACCAAAGTGTACAAAGCTGTTTATTCGCATCCTGATTGCATACGAGCGCTATACGGTCTGTCCGACACACGTAATGCATGCCATGGTTCCGATAGTGAAGAGTCAGCGGTGCGAGAAATTTCTATAATATTTCCTGAATTGAATAAGAATCAATTAACTGCAGCTGAAAGCTAATATTTGAAGAAAATCAGGCATTTTAAAAGCTGTGATGGGATGTTAGTTAATTTCAATTTTTTTCTTCATTAAGCTCGTTGTATATCAGTAATAGCTTAAGATTATTATAATTCTTTAGATGGATAGCAAAAACTATGTTGGGAGGAGCATTTGTTAAAGTTTTCTGAGAGTTGCATTTAAACTTTATTGTATATGTTCATAGCTACATATGTATATATATCCATATATAGTTAATATTATGAAAATAAAATAATAAGAATTTCTTGAAAGGGAAAGGATTTATTAATGAAACATACTCTTTTGGAAACTGAATAGGCAAATCACAGTTGGATCAAAGTTTGCAAAAGGAATGGGTGCTGGGATCATGAGCCCCGAAACAAGGCAATAGATACCTATGGGGAAATACCTCATCAACTTCCCAGCAGAAGTGCTCGCAATTATCTCATGTGCAGCTATCATACTCATCTGTTTGCAGTGACAGTCAGGCTGCACTGAAGGCGATATCATCATATACATCGTATGAGAATGTGTCAAAAATCTTAATGAAGTGGCCGAAAGAAATAAAGGATGGGTGGTCATAGAGATATTGAAGGGAATGAAATAGCAGTTAAGCCTGCCTACGGAACCAGAGCTCTTTAGATCCTCACACAATGAAAGAAGAGCTAAGAAATTAAGAAATGTGAATACGAAACAGATAGTGGTACACTGGTGATGGGGTGAGACAATCAAACAAGCATATGGACGCGTACAATTCCAGTAGCTTTAGAGACATAATATTACTTAGTAAAAATACCTTAAGGACACCAACAGGATTGCTTACAGCGCATTCCACACTGCGCACGGCATTCAAACGGACGGAGAACTTGACTGTAAGGACTGCATTCAGTAGCATATGCAACAACCGCTGGACCTAAACGGGGTTAGGTCGCCGAAAGTTAACAGCCCTTGACCGGATAATATCCGGGTCAACTCAGGTATGTAGAACCGGCTGTCTTGCTGGCAACTTACAAAGCATTTGGCCGACCGGTCGTAAACTATGCTGCATTGATCTGGGCGAAGGGGACGAACGAGATGAAGAATCTACAGGCCAAAACAGGAAACCTCCTGATGTCGCCGGAGCATTACGTGCACAGTGAAGCATCTATGCTACGAGTTCCTTCCAGTGAGTGGCGTACTCGGAGTAAAACCAACACCTATTACAGATAACGAGCTCGAGCTGCCTTAAGAGACGCGCGGGACCTTGGCACAACTTAGGTCTGGATGGATATTGTAGCAGGTTAAACTCTTACTTATCCAGTCTCGACCTCAGCATATTTAACTTATGCCCTGCATGTGGAGAGTCTCCGCACGACAGCTACCACCTCTTCTCATGCCTCTTAAAGCGACTCATCTAATTGATGGTTTCCTCCTTTTTAATATGCGAGACCATTCAACTTTTCGAAGGCCTGAAATGTTACTGTAAAACCAACTGTACATAAACATATATTCTTCGGAAATAAAAAATAATTTTATTTTGTTGTTTTTTGCAATTTCAGCTTTATTGATCAATAGAATTTTACAATAGATTTTTCAATTTTTGTTTGTTTGTTTGTTTGTCGTATGTGGTGGCAACCACTTATTGTAGGTTATAATAAAATAAAAGTAAATTTCTCAAAAGTATTAGTCATATGCATATTACATATGCAGGTGCTTATATACTTACATATATATATAACAAAATACTATATAAAAAGTATAGTTAAGAGAGTGAAGTAAAACAGTTCCCAAAATACGTACGCACAGCAAATACTTTGTATGTATGCTTGTGTTTATATGTATGTATGGATGTACTATGCATATACTTTATATAAATTATAGTTAAAGACTTAACATTTTTTTTTTTCTAAAATATTTAAATTTTTTATGTAAATGTGTGTATGTTTGTATTAGTTATTGGTTTCATTTACATACGCAATTAGGTGTACATATATATAAAAATTATAATTTTATATATGTACATACATACACGTATGCATGGTTCTTTGTATTTGTATGCATACTTATTTAGTAGCTCAACATTTTTCCCATTTTAAATGCCGAAATATTCGAGAATTCTGTTGGTTTGCAGCAGATGAAATATTTTTAAAAGCATACTTATGTATATATGTACATATGTGTATGTATGTAAATGTTAATGTATAATACACACATATGTATGTTACTGCCTTTACCTTAGCTCTACATACAAATATAAGTGCATCTGCCATATGTACGTATGTTTGTGTATGCATATCTGCATTTATTTATTATATTTTTGTATTTTGTCTTTTTTAACTTAACTATAAAAATAATTATACGATATTGAGAATGATGAAATTAATTAAAATTTATTTTTATTTTTGCCATTTTATATGCTATTTTATTTAATTTTTTTTCTTTATTTTTTTTTTAATTTTTTTTCTTTATTTTTTTTTAATTTTTTTGAATTCAGTATTTTTCTTTGTTCCCATTTCATAACACACACTACAAAACCTAGTACGTACCGCTAACGAAATATCAATTTATTTGTTGTAGTAAATGGTTTTGTAACAATTTGTATGTGTTTATGTATGTTTATGTGTGTGTTGTTTTTCAGGGATTATTTTGCTATTTTTATTTGCTTTTTGTGCTGCTTCTACCTTATGTATTTAGTAGTAATGCATATATTTTTTTTTTTTTTTTTTTTTTTTTTGGGGGTTTGCTGTATACACACAAGCACTTTAATATAAATGAAATTTGTTGAAATTTTACGCAAATTTGTTTGCATAAAAGCAATAAATTTAAAATCTTAAAAGCTTGTATGTATACAAAGTTTGTATATTTTTTAATGAGTTTTATTTTTTATTTTTTTTTATTTTTTTTATTTTTATTTTTTTAATATTTTTCTTTTTAATTTTTTTGCTTTTTTTTCTCAAATAAGTTAATTCGAATAATCGCTTGTATTTATCTTTTTAAATATTTCCATTGTCCTTTTTTTACCACATAGTATTGTAAATTATAGTTATTTAATCGATTTAATGCCTACAACAGTCCCATGATTTTCACAATTTTTTCCGATTTGGAATTTAATTTAAATGTTTATAAAGTATACATAGTTTTGAGAATAGGCCTAAAATATATGTATATATTTTTTAAATTTTTTATTAATTTTCCTTTCTTTAATTCTTATTTACCCAATTAAAATATTGCTATGCGTTGAAATTCAAATTTTTTCTCATTGATGTGATGAGCAATACAATTGAATTTTAGTTAAGAAATTAAAATAAACTCAAATCTTAAATTTGTTTTTTGATTAAAAAAAGTTTTTTTTTTTTTTTTAAATGTTTAACGCATTTTTAGTGTATTAAAAATTATTATTGCTCACTGCGCACCAAACTCTTGTACCCCTGCACCACGTCAATTTATACAACTAAAAAGTGTCATAAATACATAAAAATATATATATATATATGTTTTTATAAGGGTGAACTAAATATAAAATATAATATATTACGTAGTAAAAATTCATAAGCACACAAACACACACACACATGTATGTATGTATATGCACTTACTCTTTTATGTATGTCTAAATATACTTAAAAATTGTAACAATATCAACCGTACCTAGCTTAAATGTAATGTTTTTGAAACAATAACATTATTAATATGTATTTTTTAACGTTTCACTAAGTTTCGGCAACAATCTGATGAATCTAATAAGCTAATAATTAAAAAAAATATATATTTATGTATATGTTTTATAATATAATAATATAATATAATATATTTGCAGGTCTTTAACAGATTTTTCATTTTAGTATTTAATGCATTTTGTTTTGATTTTCTTTTCTTTACTTTTTTATTTTTTTTTTTAGATTTTTTTAATTTTTTTTTTAGATTTTTTTTTTATTTTTTTTTTAAATTTTTTTTTTAATTTTTGTTTTTTTGCATGCTATAAACACTTCTTCGCATTATTTTTGAATATTTGTGTCTACTTTTCTGCTCTTATATGTATGTATGTAGTTTGAACAATTATCTTACTTCGTACGTACATTATTCTCTCGCATCCTGCGCAGGTAGTCTCTCCTTTACTTTTCATTGAATGATTTATTGATTGGTTGGTTGTTGTTATTTTAGTTTTTTTTTTTCATTTTTATTTATTTTTTGTTTTGTTTTTGTCTCAGCCGGTTTTATTATGCATAATCTTCTTGTAATTGCTTTATTCAAACATCGATGAAGTTGGCACGACCTCCAACAGTAGCTGGAAGAAGAGTGTCACTTTGTCTATAATGAAAAAAAAAAAATAGAAAGAGAGAGAAAAAAAATTTTTCCGACGACTTTAAATATTTTTCTATTTTTCTGAGATCTTAAAAATGCAGAGTTTTCCAATCAGAGCTGTTATTTTGATATTCAAAGAATCTTTCGCTTGAGGCAGCAGTCTGCTTTAGAGGCTTCACAAAATGCATTTTTTTTCTTAAATCTATGCTAAAACTAACCAAGAATATGTCTTCAAAGTGTCAGTGACCAATTCGATATATTTTAGAAGCTAGAGCAGTTTTAGTGGCCGAGCGTCGGCTCGTATGCGCGGGCGGAACTTCGTAGCGCGTTTTCTTGAGTTTCCATTTCGAAAAGTCTTCGAAAACGGTGGCGGTGATAGTGAAAAGAATATACATACACGTGTATGCTCGATCAAAAAAGATCAAAGTGCTCTAGCTTCAGTTTTAAATCATCTTTCATTTGAACTAAAAAAGTTGGTCAAAAATATTATTTAAACATATTTTTTTTCAACTTGCAGTGATTTTTTGTTTTTGTAAAATGTGATTATTTTTTAAACGTCGGTTCATTAAAAATATATAAAGAGACAACCATAGAAATCAAAAAAAAAAGCTTTGGTTCGACTGTTTCGGTTGAATTGCCCAATCTCCATCCGTTTCACGAGTTCAGATTTCAGCCGCAACAAAAAACTCACCACAACAGCGGAAAATTCGAATATTTTCTGATAACAAAAAACAGTTTTTTAAGCTTAAATAAGCTATATATATATATACATTATTGTCTGAAAATATCCTTTTCCTCAATAAAATCCTTTTCTTTCAAAAAAATTGCTAAAAAGAAAACGCTTTTCTTTGGGTTCCAAAGGAGACTACTGCCTTAAAAGAATGATGATTCCAATGCTTTTGTGGAATGCAACACCGCCTTGTTGGAAGTAAACTTTGTCGAGATTAATACCATTCAATTCCGGGCAGCCCCAAGTCTTTAAGAAAAATACAGTGAAATGACATGGGATAGGCAAACCAGGGTTTTCTTCAACACTTTTAGCTACAGCAGCAATATTCTCAGCTGTTCTTGAGAGCCGTGCATGTATTTTATTCTTCACATCACCAACTGGTCCCAACAGCGCCAATTTCTATATTGCGGTCCAACAAGGAGCTTTACGACGACCGAAAAATGTTTTAGTTTTACGAACCGTCTCTGCCAGGTTTTCACCATTCTTATGGGAAATTTTAACGGTTTCAGGGTGTTGTTAAAGCCTGTATTGTTCCATTTTTGTTACTGGCGTAGTTTTTACTTCTTAAATGTCAAAAAAAATTCAGCTTCAAAGGTGACATCTACCGGAATAGCAGGCTGTTCAAAATAATGACTTCTTATTGGAAAACCCTTTACTTTCGATCGCTTCAGTTATCAAGTCTTCCCACCACCATTGCATCGTTTAACTTTCATTCCATCCTTTAAATATATTATTTTTTATTTATTTATTTATACGATCACTTACTCATAAATCTCGGTGTCATGCCCAATTTAACAAATGGCACATAGAATATCAAACCGCCCAATATGAAGAGCAATGCATAGAGATATTCAATACGTGGTGTATCGATTATTGGCGCCACCACTAGATATATTGAGATCACCAGCACCACAACGGGAATGATGATAGGCACTTTGTATGGCCTTGGATAGTTGGGTTTGGTGAAACGCATCACGATGAGCGCCAACATAGCACCGCCATAGAAAATCCATGCGGTAAAGCTGAAGAAGTCAATCAATGAGCCAATGGTGCCGTACAAGACCATGGCGGCAGCTATGAGTGACTGTAAAAGAGGAAATTTATATATATTTTTTTGCACTTAGTAATATTTGAGAAATTAATTAATCAGCTTGAGTTAAAAGTAAGAACCTAACTTAAAATTGTATTTGTATTTTGAAGTTAGGAAAGAAAATTAAAAATTAATAGAAGAGAATAAAATAAGAAAAGTAATAATATAAAAAGAAAAAATTAAAATTAAATTAAATTAAATAAAATGAAGTAAAATAAAATAAAATAAAATAAAATAAAATAAAATAAAATTAAAATAAAAAAAAATAAAATAAAATAAAATAAAATAAATTAAAATAAAATAAAATAATTTGAAATAAAATAAAATCAAATGAAATAAATTGAAATAAAATGAAATGAAATTAAATTAAATTAAATTAAATTAAATTAAGTAAAATAAAATAAAATACTAATAAGTGAAGCAATATAAAAATATAATATAAAATAAATAATTAAAAAATGAAGATAAAATAAAATGAAAAAAAAACAAATAAATTAAGTAACATCCTCATTTCTTAATCAGTGTTTTTTTTTAGTTTTAGAAAATGTGGTTCCTCCGTCATATATATTTCCTTTTCTTTCAATAAGTTAAACTCACATGAAAAATCAATCCAGGTGCCGGTGTTAGACGACGTACGTGTACATACGACAATATATCCATCAGGTGACCCTCTCGACTGGCAGCAAAGCATAAGCTGAAAGTAGTGAAATTGATTTTTATTGGCAAATATAATTATTTAAAATATATCCACATGCAAATGTCAACTCACCGTCCCGCTGCGAAGAGTGTACCATTGGCGCTACCAAAAGTGCTAACTGTCACACTGAGTGGCATTAGCCAAGCCAATGCGCCCAATATACGATTGCCAAAGGTTACAGCAACGGCTTCGGAGTCGATCATTTCGGTGGGAGACATCGCCGCCAAGTATGAGATATTGATAAGTGCATAGCACAGTGTCACCAACGGTATACCAATCATAATGGAACGTGGCAAATTCTTGCTTGGATTCTTGATTTCTTCGGTGACATAATTCAAATTATTCCAGCCATCGTACGCCCAGAGACCTGTGTAAAAAGCGGTCGCTACAGCGCCTAAGGTGGGTGTGTCGCCACTAAATGCATTTGATAGATGTTGTGTATTGCCTTGGAATAATTTCCAAGCGCCGCCGCAGATCACAATTAAGACGGCAACCAATTTTGCAGCGGTGAATATATTCTGCACAGCCATACCCAGATTCACACTATAACAATTCACGAACAGTATCATAACTATAGAGGGGGTGGGGCGATTGGTCGTAGAAGGCATAGTCGGAGACGGAGGCATCGAAGTGGGACGTAGGAAGTTGTGATGGTTGTTTTTGTTTGATTTTTATTTTTTTTTTTTAATTTTTAATTTTTAGTTTGAATTATTTGATTTTGATAGGACGGATGAGTGGTTATACAAAAAGTATCAAATAGCCGGAATATTTTTTTTTTTTTTTTGTTGTAAGGAGAAATATAGAGAATAATTTTGTCAAAAAATTAATAAAAAAAAAACACTAGTTTAAAGAAAACTTCGTATGTGCGTATGTATGTAGTTGTGTAAGTGAGTGCATGAGCGTGAGCGAGTTATGAACTTTACATATAGACATACTCGTACATATGTATGTACATTTCTTTTTCTTCATTGTGTTTTGGGGATTTTTGTATTTTTTCAGGATTTTACAGGATTAAAAAAAACACAACTAAGCAAATAAAAATGCATAAATATGTACTATGTGCAGAGTTGATAATGTTGATATGCTTACCAATTGCCAACAGTGCAACCATTTTAACCACCGATGTTGGTGGATCGCATTCGGTAACGAATGCCTCAACTGCATACTGCGCAAAGGAGAGACAAATTATAGCCATTTGCGATGGCTTCAGGACCAATGTCGATACCCATGAGAATAAAAATGCGGGAGCCGGACCAAATGCGTCCATAAAATATGCCCATTCAGCGCCAGACGATGTATTCATCGTACCCAATTCAGCATATGCCAGAGCGCCTGGAAAGTGTTGGAAAAAATTTTCATTAAATACATATTTAATTTGAGAAGAATTATAATTTTTTTATTTGAAATAATTTCAAATAATAAAAAAAGTTCTTCAGTATGGGTTAAGCTTTTAAAGCTTGTATAAGTTCAAGCTACATATATATATATAATTGGAGCTTTGTATCCGCTGAAGCGGTTTTTCGGCCGAGCTCACCTTGTAATTTGTGGTTTTGTATCTTGATGGTTTTCCAACAAATGGAGGGATCTAAAATTTCTACCAAGCCGCCACCAAACGCCTGATGGTTTTTTTTTATAAAGAGTTACATACCGCCTTGCAATCTCTCGAACGGCTAGATTAATATTCCTACCATAGGCAGAGCAACTTAACCCTAAGAACTTTCCGTCTGTAAGCTCAATTTCATTTCTCCGAAAAAACATTGAAGAGAGCCTACTCTCGTAAGCACAACACGCCTAATCGCATGTCTATATTGTTCATTTGACAGACACTATATCTATGTGGAACTTATGGTGCTCCCAGATGAAGAACTATATAAACATAACCAGGAATTTTATCCCCCACTACCACGATTTACCTATAATTCATCGAGCAGTGCGCTAACGGTAAGAAGCAAGGTTTAGCCATAAAACAAGTTGCATATAAACTTAGCAGGAAGAGAAGCGCTCTTCCATTTTCGTTCTCACAAAGCTTTCGAAAAGCTTTAAAGCTTTGCTGAATCATCTTGGGTCTACGAAGCTCTTTTTTCGACAGTGGAATATGAAGAAATTTCGTACGGAGTAGTTTGTTGTTGTCTCCATTCGCATAACGACAGGTATAAAAACAGGGTATTGTCTAATGCGCTATGACTCCAATGATTTTCTTACGAACAAGTCGAAGAGTAAGAGTCTATTGACAAGAGAGATAGTGTGACTGTCCAGCCTTGACATCTATGTAACACAATTTACTCAAGAAACACTTTTTGGACCGTCTCGCTGAGTTAGCTTCAGCAAAACTTGGTAAACTCGTAGCTTTTATAAGACACTCCGAAAGGTTTGCACGTTAAAGAAGGTGCAGGGGATGAGAGCCTGATATCACTATCATATTGGTCTAAGTGCGTTGGTCTCTGACCAACAGCGCTATCAACTAAACTTACGTAAATCGCAAAAACCTTTTCAAGCGCACCTAGAGAGAGACTTATCTCTACCCCTGCGGTGTAGGAGTTCAAGCATTTTCCCCACGGTAAGCTATGCCAGTCGTAACAGGCGAGTAAAATTCTCTAGTACCCACCAAAGTCGAGCCTTTATACCGGAACGACTCGAATTTTTATCCGGCCAAGGACTCTCACTCAAACAACATTCTTCCCCAAAAACTACTTTAGACAGACTTCCTGGGTACTAAAACTGTAAAGTGCGTTTTATGACACCTAGAAGAATGATGAAGCAAGTAGCGCATTGAGGGCTAGACAGTACCAGCGGTAGCGCTCCACTCACTCCTCCTCGTCTATGTTCATACAGCTGCGTCTGAAGTAATTAGAGAAGCAACTTCATCCTTCTAATATGAGTCCACATCAGGCAATGACCGCTTATTATGGTAATAGAGGTCCTCTTTAGAAAGAGTAGAGACTTGGTTCTTTTCTCTACTTTGTGTGAGGAGTTCTAGCTGGGTACATTGTATGTGGTTTCCCCTCAACAGCTGTCATTGGCAAAATAAAGGTGGAGGTTGATCTTAGTTTAGAATTTACCGCGGTTACGACTGTTCACCTTCCGGGTAGCTCGAGTATTTCATGTTTATCACACATAAAATTTAGTGTGCCGGCCGCAATAGCAGCGTGGTTAGCATTGTGTACTACTATTCGGCAGGTTGGGATTCGTACTACATGCAACAGAATTATAGAACGAATATATTTTTCGAATTTGCTTTCGCCCCTCGGCAGCTTATGTTAAATCCGCCGTGTGTATTTCTGGCATGAAATAAAAAACTGCTCCTCAAAATCCTCCAGCCGTTCGGTGTTGGCTTAGGTACCTCCATTTGTTGGATTAACTTCGAGACGCAAAACCACAAATTGAAGTAGGAGCTCGGTTGAAAATCACTTCAGCGTTTACAGGATATGTATATAATATATAAAATAAAATGAATATTTCAATATGAAGAAGACTGTTATATCAAAATATTTCTTTATATTTGAAGTATGATGTCCTGATATGCATAAAAGTTCTGTCTTACATCTGTCAGTGGCGTACGTGGCAAAATTAATATATTTACTATTCCTTCACATGAGCGCTTACTACAAAATACATAACACACATAATATATTGTATACATAATATTATAGTATGCGTATATATGTATGTATGTGTTTATAAAAATACTCAAATTTTTTTTTTTTTTTTTTTTTTTTGTAGTTCAATGCATTTCATTTATTTTTCAACAAATTACTTTACAAGTGGTACACAAATGACAAATGGGCGCCACAATCAAATACAATGCAATGACATACAAACATACAGATATGCATACATAAATACATACATACATATAAGCGAGTACATTTGTTTCTATGCAACGACCGTACGCAGCCAATACTAAAAATCATTGTCAATTTGCCAAAAATTAAGAGGCTAAAAAAAGCGACACATAGAATCCACAGGTTTACAGGTGCACACTTGTACATATGAACAACATACAGAGCTATGTATTTATTTATGTATGTATGTATTAGTATATGCATTTTTGTATATATTCATATGTTCATTTGTTTATAAAGCGCTATAGACGTTAATCATGTGCAACACGGCTGCACATGAAATGCGACGTAAAATAATTGAGAAAATATCATTCTAAGGCAATCAAGCTTAAAATTAAAAAAAAATTAAAAAAAAAAAATTAAAAAAGAAAAAAACAAAGTAAAAAAATAAGCACTTGTAGGCGACACAAAGCAATAAATATTTACAAAATCCATACAAAGTACTAAACACTTAGTTATATTGCAGTTGGGTGGCGCCATTTGTGGACATTTTGCTTAGCAATTGCAATATATTTTATGGTGAGTGGAAAGTTCTATTTGCTTAAAATTGAAAAAATCGATAGAAATTTTAATAGTTTTTCAACATGAATGTTTTGTACTTGCTTTTGCACGTTTTTTCTACATACATATCAGGTCTACAACTTTGCTTCCGCCGTTTTTTATCCGAAAATTAAAAGCTTTATTGCGGAAAAGTGCTTACAGATATATTATTCAAAGTATTGTCCTTCGCTAGCGACAACTTTCTCCCATCTTTCCGGCAATTTTCGGATCCCGGCTCGAAAAAAGCAGTCCTCTTTTGATGCTAACCATGAAGCAATCCATTTTTCCAATTCTTCGAAGGATTGAAAATGTTGATCTGTCAGGCCGTGTGCCATCGAACGGAATAGGTGAAAGTCAGCAGGGGCGACATCTGGGGAATACGGCGGGTGGGGCAAGACTTCCCTTTTCAGCGTTTCCAGGTACTTTTTGAGCACTTTTGCGATGAGAGGCCGAGCATTGTCGTGTTGGAGGATGACTTTGTCATGTCGCTCTTGATATTGTGGCCGCTTTTCTTTTAGCGCGCGACTAAGGCGCATCAGTTGCGCTCGGTAGCGATCTCCTGTGATGGTTTCACCCGGTTTTAAGAGCTCGTAGTAAATTACACCGAGCTGATCCCACCAAATATAAATCATAACCTTGTTTGTCTTCGTCATCGAAATCACCATTTTTGAAACGTTGAAACCACTCCCGAAACGTTCTTTTACTCAGAGGAGCATCACCGTAAGTTTCTGAGAGCATTCGATGCGCTTCAGCTGGAACAGAAAAGTAAAACTTCCCGCAAATGGCGAGAATTAGGCACATAAACGGACATTTTCGAGCGTGAATAATACGAAAACAAGAACAACTGTCACTGAAACGGCGACGACAATTCGTTAGGCACTGTCCACACTCAACTTAAAGACATTATCATCCATGTATTTCAACCAGCCCCAGCCAGTACAGCCACCTATCGGAAAACGGCGGAAGCAAAGTTGTACACCTGACACATACATAAAAGAAAGTCAATTTCCTTATCATTGTCATTGGACCTTACATTTACGAAAATGATTGGTTTGCGCTATAGAGAGAAATAATGATTTGTTATGGCCGGCATTGTAAGGTATCGAGCTAGGCAACTTTTACTTTCAAACAAGATGGCGATATGTGCCACACAAGCAACGAAATTATCGATCTTTTAGGGGAAAAGTTTCCGAACTGTGTTGTCCCTCGATGAAGAGATCATAATTAAACCAAGATCTCTTGATTTAACACCTTGTGACTTCTTCCTTTAAGGCCAAGTGAAAGGTAAAAGGAGAAGACCTCAAATATAGAATTCGTGAAGCTATTGTGGGCTTACGACAGCCACTTTGCGCCGGATGGAAAATTTCATTAAAAAATATACTGCCCTGTGAGCATAGCCATGCCGGCCATACGACTGATACATTTTCCATTATTAAGGACATATTTACTTTTTACACTAATTATTAAAAAAAACTTCATTTTTCTTTGAATATCAAAATATCAACCCTTTTTGGAGATTTCTGTATAATTTTTTTCTTTTCTGAATAAGAACTAAACAACCATCTATTTGGTAAAAAATTAAGGTTTGTGTAATTTAGTTTTTTTTTCAAGATATCAAGTACTTGTCTTCCCTGGGAGTGAATTAGGAACCACATTCGAGCTGCTTGGCTGTGTAATAAACGAAAATGAGGCCACCAACTATCCAATAGAATTTTTAAACTTATTGAATTTGCCTGATCCGATTCAAGGTTGGCTCGGTAGTAATCATGCTTCGAAACATAAACTAGTTCAATATATGGAATGGAGCGCATTTGGTGAAAGCTAAACTAAGGGTCAACGTGATTTCCGTGACGATACACACAGAGAAATTCAATGCTTTATTTTTTTTTGTTTGCGGCTGATAACTTAACGAAAAACATCGTTTATTATAAGGTGAGCCAGTAAAGCAGGCAAATAATATACCAAAATAAAGAGCCAATAGTTATTATTACAATTTATTTACCATTACTCGAAAAATAAAGAATGACTTGTCATTAAAGCTTCAAAACTGCTTCTTAAGCAACTCCTATGAACTAAACTCCTTCCTGGAGTTGCGCTGCCTGCTGATCACACTTAGTCCTATAGGCCTATTTTAATACCACTGTAGAATTCCTATCACCTTTCTACAAGCACGAATTATTTAATATTGCTCATATTAGCTGTAGCTATCTCATTGAAGCTTTCAAAGAAATGTTTCGCTGGACAGACAGACTATACCTTGTCTTGATCTCTGCAGAGCTGCGCTAAACTCTGTGCCCGATGTTACGCTGTGCCTGGAGACGAGGTAGAGCTATCTTCTTACAGCTGCCATTAGCATAATAGCACAATCTTCGACCATAAGACTCCATTAATCAGCATCCTGTTATTCTACTTGTGGTGAATTGGTCATGAAGTATTAAATGTCTTGACCTTCCAGCGTCCAATATTGGTCCTATCTATCTAGTTCAATTACAAGTTATTTCACTATGCTATCTTTTACGGGCTATCTTTAACGGCTATCTTTAGCGAAGATCAGGCTTAACATGGACAGAGGTGCACACGCATCGATCTGAGTATCTAGATCCAGGTTGTGTTATATTTATTCAGAAGATTATGCGGAGTACATCTTAATTGAAGTTAATTGGCTTGCCACCGTGGATTTCAGCAACTATGCAACAGCTTTCGGGCTTGTAATATGATCTACTTTAAAGACACTAGAAGGGTCTAGTAGGCTCAGATTATTGCTAGTTGAAACCGTCTTTCATCAGGTTTCTGACTGTTCACAAATGGTTTTGGCTCTCTGTTACCAGAGTATTTGTTTTTCGCGCTCATTTCTGTTAAGTATTTTTGACAAAAACACACCGTCAAAGTAGTGATTGAAGGTGATGTAGACCAGCACTAAGAGATAATATGTGGGCATGACTATACAGCAATATATACAAGGCTGATTTGAGTTCAGTTTTGACCTAGGGGAAGAAAGTTGAGGAGTGTTTCCACGGATTTAGAAGATTTAAAAGAGTCGGTAGTGTAGATCCTTTACTGAGGATAGCTGCTGAATTCTGGCTAGTTTGCTCATATGGTGGTACTTTATGCACTAGAGTGTGATGAAGTGTTCCTTAATAAGCTTAAATACCAAATTTTATGTTTCTACCTTTACTATTTGGTAAAATTTTATCCTTATCAATTTCAATTAGTTAATGCACTGAGATGTGCAACAGGACGTATGAGTGATATTTTTCGAATTATTTTCAATTTATGAAATTATTTCGTAATTAATTTTCTTTGTAGAAAATAATCTTAACTTTGTTGCAATTCTATACTATTTTTATACTTTGTTTCGATTTTTTAATTTTCTTTTATTATAAAAATATTTTTAAGTTGTTTATGCTTACTTTCATTTAGGTAAACATTTGGCGAACTACAAATTGGGAAATTATATGGGAAATTAAATAAAAATACCAGCCCTGAATGTAAACACCGAAAGAAAAATATCTAATTGTTAATTTTAAAATTTTTGCACATTATTGTTAGTAAATTTACTTACCCAACAACGAGAGCAAACCACAGGCCAGCCATATTATAAAGCTAACACCAACGGAACCAGTACGAACTAGTAGACCTGATGGCGACACAAATATTCCAGACCCTGAAAATGAGGTTTGAAAATAACCAAAATTAATAAATGATTAATAGCAATGTAAATATAATATATGATTAAAGGATTCGCTATAAATATTTCAATGTCTATTTCATAATTTTTTTTATTACATAATTTAAATTTTATATATCGATTTAATGCAATCGAAAATAATATTAAGACCAAATAAACTCAAATTCACTTATGTGTTTCTAATGGGCATCTCGGATTTACTTATGACTCTACATACATATTTATTGAAATAAATATATAAATTTTATCAATTTTGATTGCATGATAATTAAAACAGAATTGTTTGTGTATGACATTTGCTTACTTAAGTAAAAATATTTATTTTTAAAAATAATTTTAAATATTAACACTAATAAATCATAAGAGAATTATAATTGATAATATAAAGCACGTGAAAATTGGAAATTCAACTTTTCCTTTGAACAGACCTTTTCCAAAAATTTTCCTACAGGGTTTGCTTTGCGCAAAAGTAGATAATCATAAGTACATTTTAAAATTTTTTTGACTCTAAATATATGTATATTGTGTGTACACACTCTTATTTGTATATATGTATGTATATGCATGTGCTCCACTGGTCAGTTATACCTGCTAAGCTGCTAAATTTATGTGATAAAAATATGTTTGCGTCATCGATATTCGCACAATTATGCCAAATGTGACTGCTGAACGTACATATGTTTACAATTCTTATATACGTAAGTATGACATGTGTAATTTACTTATTTCTGATTTTTTTATTTTTTCATTTTAATTAATTTAATTTTTTTTCAGTCTCATTACTCGAATTTGGTGCGTATTTATTTATAGTATACTTATATAATATAATAACATGGGTATATATATATATAGCTGTATATCATATACATATATGAGGAAGTTAAATTCTTTTACATATAATTCCATTTATTTTTTATTTATTTATTTATTCTTTTATTCTAAATATATGTATATATATAACATATATTAGTTTTATATAGCTGCATATTAAATAAAGTTATTTTCGAATTTTTTTTTTTCCTTACACCAGTAATTGTCATATAAACAGTAATTACCTAACAACACATATTTAACTACGTTATTTCTTAAATAAATATTTAAATTTTACTTAACAATAAGCTAACAATAAATAATCGATATGTAAATAAGTAATTAGTTTTTTTTTTTTTGAAAATGCTTGAATTTATTATTTTAACTCATTTTTACACATTCACGTAGTAATCATGCTTGTAAAAATTTATTTGTATGCATATATTAGGTCAAGTAATAAGTTATCCATTATTTTTGTATTAAATTAAAGGCTTTATTTACCTTCTTTTAGTAAGAATTGTCTACAGTACAGGTTCGAATTAAGATTTTGGGTATAAAGGAATAGCTCATAGTGGATAGCTCCTTGCTAGTCACAGCAAACACACAACAAAAGCTTCCTTGCCGTCAATCCTAACTTGGAGACCGTTTATGTTGGCTCACTGCTTTTCTACCACGACCATTTTCATTTGAAATTTTTCTAAGTTATCTACTTTTCTTAACCATTTGCCGTTCGCTGCAGGGATGTATCGATTTTTATATGATTCAGCAGCGATTCGCAGTTGGAAATTCGGTCTGTGAGCTTTTTTCCCGTTAATTCATGTGGCACTCATTGGGTGAGCTTTTATCTATGTATATATTATTTCTATTCCAGTGGTTTCAAACCGTCTTTTGTGCAATCTGTAGCTTTTGCATGTTCAAAACAAGGCTCGCTTGTCGTTCACACTTGCCGATTACCATTATTTTATCGACATTTCACATAATGGGCCTCACACCGAGGTGCATCTATTTAATCAAAATTACCGGAACTAAATCGACAAAACCTAAATTGCGCATGATTGACGAAACCATAAGCAATATTCACATTTTTAGCTGCCTGGTTTATGTGTTTCCCATTTATTGAAGTAAAATTCTAAAATATAGAATATTTCCCTTTTGCTGAAGTACAATATATCGCTCAGGCATGCGCTGAAACACTAGTGAGTTAAGTGATCAAAATTTCTCCCATTTTCTTTTTTAGTACAAAATATCATCACTCTAGCACGATCTAACGTATTCCAATCGCACTTATAGAACGCGAGTTACAGATCAATAAAGCAATCTTCTTTAATATTCCAAAAATAATGGATGACTTGTTACTTGACCAATGTCACTCAGTCCTTTCCCAATCTACATGTATGTGTTCGTCCTGATCTTTTTCAACAATTGTTGGGAGCTACAGTTTAATCTAAGCCGTTTTATTTTATTTTTTAATTAAATTAATCTTTTGCATTAATTTTCTACAATTTCGTGTGTTGATTGGGCCAAATTTCGAACCTTCGGCCATACAAGTATGCCATGCTAACTGCTCGGCTCGGCTATTGTGATGAAAAGCGTAGATTCTCGCTCTCATAACTCTTCCTCATTCAATAAGTGCCCAAACTATGAAAATTTTTTTAAAAATATGCCAAAAGTTTCCTAACTTAAAATATGATTGATGCCCATATATATATATATATGCATGGCTCAAGTTGAAAATGTCCTTGAAAATGCACTAAAATATATACACACACACACTACTGTATACGAAGTAGTTATTTCAAATAAATAACCTTCGACCTTAAACTGCAATGCACCCCATGACATTTCGAATTACAAATAAAGGAACTGCGTATATATGTATTTACTTAAAAGCTTATGTACATATATGTATAATACAACAATACATTTCTGAATGCTTATTCATACTGAATTTATGTATAACTGCATGTACTTGTATACAGTAATATTATATATGTATGTTTATTCTAATGCACCTTTTGTGTATTGCAGTGTATTTATATATATATATATATATATACATATATATGAATATTATGAGTATTTATTGTTCCTTGGACGCCACTAAACATGGCACGCGATGCAATTATAGGTCATAGAAACTAACAACAAAAGGCAGGTGTAACTGGGCATCAATTTCTTTTTCATTTTACATAGTAACCACCGCTGAGATTGCTACCCAGCTTGAATTTTGAATATTGCGCACTTTTTTATTATTATTATTATTATTATTATTTCGCCGTTTTATTACTTGGTAGCTACCATTGCATACCATAGGCAGCTTTCAGTACATACCAATAATATTTCACATAAGTATAGCTTTTACTTGGCAGATACCTTGTTTGATACCGAACGGCTCGGAGAGGTTCTTCGCATTTCTGGCGTTGTCCATGGTCAGCATCCGGCTTTAAAATCTCTCTATACCCACGATAGCACCTTCTATGTGGTATTTATATAGAAAGTATATTTTCTCTTCACTACAGTTCTGCTATTCTACATTTCTCATAGAACCAGTCATAGCGGCTATATATGGTGAGTTTTAGCTGCCGTTCTACAGTCCACTTATATCGAGTTGCTCATGAGCGCTGTCAGAAAGCAGGTGTGCAAGTCGAGTAGCAAACTGTTCGGTTTTCTGTTTTTGATTGCAGCTTTTTGACGTCAAAATCGCCTTCAGTTTGTTGACGGGCATTCTTTGATACTCAGGCTCTGGTGCGTATTTTCGCTAAGAAAAGATAGTGAACTGAGTCAATATTGGGTCTACCGAAATGAACATTTTGGTTGTGCAATCCGTCGGCAGTCATACATATATGTAAGTGCGGCGAAGTCGTTCAGACTTATCCCGTTCGTGGTTGTTTGATCAAGCAGACTGTCAAATAATTCTTCTTTTTTTCTTCTTTGCCCCTGGCATTAAAGTCACCTAGCACAGTTTTCAATATTTTTTAAAATTTCGCCTTGATGATGATTGTTGCTAAATATTCATCCACCGATGCCAGTACTCAGCGATGGAGTCTCTTTCACACCATAAACCCAGCACCAATTTTGCGCTCCTTCATATGGCTGCTATAGTAAATTAGACAAGGTACCACTTCCTTCTGTCTTTGTACCGTCCATCGCATCAGCCTTAAATCTTATGAGGGCATCAACAAGCTAGGCAGCGGCACCTTTTCAATTAAGCAACCGAACATTCTCTCAAATCGTAACTCTTAAAACATTTTCAGGGGTCTCTTATGTGAAGCTTTCTCATTTAAGCTCGGCTAAAATGAATTTTTCTTGACTGACCAGAGAACATTGCCTCAAAAAAATGTTTCTGGACTACCCAGTGGGCACTTGGTCTAAGACCGGAAGTTGTGAGCAGCATTGAGCTATATTAAACGAATCATTTCTTGCGATTCTTAAGGCAATGATGGCACCAATTGTCGGAAATGTCGATAAAATCATGAGCAATGTCAAGTCCGACCGTCATGTAAGCACTGATCCGATTTCTCAAGAGATAAAGAGTACACAAAAAACCATTTGGAACCATTTGAATAAGGTTGGATATGAAAAGTATGAAGTGGAAGCCTTCAATTTGGAATTTGGAAAAATAATGGACTACTTTTTACTAGGCCTAATATATACGTACTATTAACACTGACCTCTATGCAAGGCTCGACAATATATTTTGTGTCAATAAACTGAGAATATTTTGGCATTGGAGAAGGCGCCAGCAATACATATTAATACATAAAACTAAAAATATAATTTGTATTTATATTAATATATGTATACCATAAGTAAGAATTATTATTAAATTATTTTGGAATACTTTAATAAATAATATTAAAGAATTTAATCGTCAACGCACAGGGTCATGAAAAGACTCAATGCTAATGTGTGATTTAAATAAAATTCAAAAATTTGGAATTCAAAAAGCAAAAGTAATTTTATGAAATGTCGGCGTGACAAAATGCACGAAGGCAGGGAAATTGAGTTTGTTTATCTTCTAATTTATTTACTTACACAAATTTTTAGTTACATAAATAGATTGTATATTTAACTTATTTCTTTATATGTGGGTATTTTTATTAGACTTGCGTTTTAAGAATTTTGGAAATAGCTTAAAACTCAAAGTTCAAAGCTCTAAAACACAACGAAAACTGGGGTATTTTGAGTAAATTTAATTTATTATAAACTTTATTGAAGATTATATAAGATAACACCTATAATTATTGCTGCAAGAAAGTATGTTTTTTTTTTTTTTTTTTTTTTTTTTGTAAGTAGAGCTTCTTCTATTACAATAATTGAAAACCTTATTTGCCAGTGTGACACTGCGTATACGTAACGCATCGTCCTCAAGCGAGTAAATAAATGTGAATGCTTAAACTGAGTTGTAAAGCTTGAGGGACTTTGTAATCAATACACCATAAAATTCTTATTCAATTGTTTTCAACCTTCTCCGAATGGCTTATAGAATTTCATAAACGAAATTTTTATTTTCATGTCCGAAAAACACTCGGAAGATATAGGCATACCCTGTCGTGTGGTGAAATAGTTTGAAATAAAAACTGTGAAAATTTGATCCCATAACCCTAGCTAGTAGCAGACACCATTAATCACTCAGTTAAAATATTTCCCATTTATTTTTTCTTAATCTATATATATCTATAGGCTTTCTCCTGCATGACTAACGGATAAGCTCACAGCCTAAACCACTGATCATAGAGACCTGAAACTCAGAGGCTTCGTATTACTTATACATCCGATTTCTGCGGCTTATTAGATAAATGGAGTTTATTATTAAATCGTTTGACTTACAAGAAATTTGGTACACGTATAACTTTTTGCCTAAATTGACAAGGGGAGCATTCATTGAGGATATGGAACCGGTACCGATCTATTGGAAAATATTTATTTTTCGTTTGATTTAAATAAAATTTGATACAGTGGTCGCTTTGGGCTCAAATTACCATTGGAAAAACTTTTTTCTCCGGAAAGTAGCGCTGAAGCCGATTCGATGGTCAAGATCAATATGTGGTGATCTGTTCGGAAAAAACGTATGCATAGCTCGATTTATTTGATATCTGGCGCATATACAGCTCTTTGCATAGACTAATATGTGGAGAAGATTTCATTAATTTTTTGTATCTTAAAATGGAAGTCTCCAAGTTATAACAAAAGAGACAACATAAAAACCTATAGAAAATCTTATTAGAACCAACTAAGAATTACATGAGGACAAAATCGCGGCAACCTCTAGTATTTCAAAATTTCAGACGTGCACACGATTATTAGCTTTTAAAGTGGTTTGACAAATTTTTGATTGAAGGAAAAGTGTAATATACTTTCGAACTTCATCCCTAGTAAAGGGCGAGAAATTCAGGTCTAATTAAGAAGTCGTTGCACCTAAATTTTTTTTTTTTTAATAAAAATGCTTTTCATTAACCTCAAAATTTGCATTTTATGTGTATAAAAGCACAAAATTAATAGGTAAAGCTTATGTATATAACACAAAAATATATTATATAACTATATAAGACACACCCATTTTGATAATATATATAATATATGTATGTACATACGTTTTGCTGTTTTATATGCATAAACTTAAGTTTTTTAAGATTGAAATTTTTTTAAATTTTTTTCGTTTTTTTTCTTCTTAATATGTGATTTGTGTGTGAAAATAACTTAATTAGAAATAGTCATGTGGTTCATTTACTTTTTTATGATTTTTTTAAGAGCCTTCGACGCGCTTGCCAAGACGCCTACGCATAAAAGCGTATAGCATTTTCATTTTATATACTCATATATATGTACAGCTAGTATTTTCATTTATTTGTCCCTATTTTGCTACTCTTTTCATTTGTTGTATTATCTTTGCTATTCTCATATATATCAAATACAAATATATATGTATTTAAATGTATTTGATGACGTGACAACAGAATGTTTGCGTTAGGCATAGCCTAAATATAATATATATTTGTAATCTTTTAATTGTTGAGATTCTACATTTTGTTCTGTTAAAAACTCTAAGATTATATGTATGTACATAGTTTAGAAATGATATTATTTTTTCAAATTCGAAATATATGAAATTTGCTTAACACATTTTTTTTTCAAAAAAACCTTTAAATAATACCAAAAATTATCAGCATAATTTAAGTAAATTTTCATTACATAAAAAATTTTTCGCAAAAACTTTTACAATTTTCCAAAAAAAAAAAAAAAAAATTTTAATAAATATATATTCAATTAAATATGTATGAAATAATAAAATATTATATTCATTTGATGTGTACTCACCTATCATGGTCCCGACAATTAAAGCCACCCCACTGAAGAGTCCCACCCGTCTCTGGAGGTGAACAGCGTCGTTCGGCGCTGAGCCCTTCCTCTCCAACGACTTCCGCATCCCCCCGGTCCCTGATGAGTCGGTCTCTGTTTCGGGCCCTTCTGCCCCAAAAGACCCATTGGCACTCGTTGTCCCGTTGCTCGTGACTTTATTTGGCACATTATGTCCTATTTTAAGGTATTTTCAAAATTAATCAGAAATATTTTATTTTTTTTTTTTTAATATTTTTTTTTGTACACAATATGCCAATTTTCCATATTTTTGATTTTTTATTTTTAATAGCCAATGTTGCGGTGGTACGAAAACGAAAAAGAGAGAAGAGATATGCACAATTAGTAAGGTTAATAATATTATTATTTTAACACACAAGTAATTCACTTTTAAATATTTTGAATTTTAGAGTCTTCAAATGGCTTAAAATGTGCAGAAAATACAATATGTTGGAAACAGTTTGTGGTGTCTTTTATTAAAAAATATCTTATTTCCATGATTAACTTTACAATATATTTCTTTAAACTACTTTTTTATTTAATTTAATTTAATCATTATATTTTATATTATTTAGTTTTATTTAATTCTATTTTATTTTGTTTTATATAATTTTATTTCACTTCATATTATTTTGTTTTACTTTATTTTATTTTATTTTATTTTATTTTATTTTATTTTATTTTATTTCATTTTATTGTTTTTTGTTTGATTTAATTTATTTTATTTTATTTTATTTTATTTTAAATTATTTTTATTTCATTTTTTATAGAATACTTAATAGCCCTTCACTTTAGCTATTGAATATCAGACCAATGTCAGGGTTATGTGCTGTTAAATTCTTTGGTGTATACTGCTTATTCGCTTACCAATTTCCGATTGTTTATGTAATTGTGTATGTGCAATGCGTACGTGCCGACTAGCAGACATTTGCATTGAGATTTAGAAATAATTTAAACGCCGTGAACAGAGCAAATTAAATTTTATAATTGAAAGTGCAAGCGAACATTTGTACGGGTACGTAAGTATTTTCAAGCAAAAATTGCACTAACTTTACTTTGGAATACTCAAAACCTCTTCAGTTCTTCTGTTGTTTTCAATGGCCCCCAAAAACTATTTTAAATTTAAATTTTTCCTAAATGTACCATAATTTTGCATTTCCTGTACTTAAACTGCTTTCAATATTTTCGCACTTAAAAAACGCTTTTCCGCAAGCGCTACTTGTCATCATCACAGATAAAAGCATGCCATTTGTCCTAACAATGTAGGTGTGCCTTAATTGTAGTTTTCCTTCTAATCATTCACGTATGTATGTAATAACATAGCACATACATACGGGTATATGTAGTAATATTAACTATTTTATGTGTATCATTAGGAGCATGTGTATATGTAAATAAACACTTTGTCACCACCACATTCATACAGCCCACCAATTTGCACAAAGCTACATTTATTCATTGCATCTTGTTGCCCGTCGGCGACATTGACATTGTAAGACGTTCAACTGCAATGTTAGACCGATTATAATACTTATAAATAGCATACACACTTGCCTGCCACATGCAGTTTACCTACAAGACAATTACATGTTGCCTTCATATCACTTGGGATTTCTGTAATATGTGTGTTTGTGATAAATTAGCATCATAAACAGACTTTTATGCATTTTTTATTCTAATCCTTCGGAGTGTTCAAGGGCAAGTTGGTATTTTTATAATTACCGTATTTAAGTAGTGAATTTCGCATAAGCTTTATTGCTTAACGGTGTAGTTAAGCACTGTTTCTTGGTGCGAACGCGTTTCGTTTGGAATGGTACATTGTATCGGGTTCTCTCAGACTTATCTGGCACTTAGACTAGGTAGGAGCCTCGCAGTGCAAAGGACTAAAGAAAGCTCTTTTGAACTTCGTTAAAACCGTTGACGTCCTACATGCAGAGAACGAAAGTTTTTTTCCACCAGTAAACTGCTTGACAGCCAGGACTTGAGTAAATATCGAACGATTTCTTCTCAGATTTTTATCTTTTGCTAATCTATTTATCACATTCCCTAAATTTTTTTATTACTGTTTTAAGCGCATTAATTGATGGGTATGGGATATTTTAATGCCAGCTGCTTGCATTTTAAATTGTCGTTCTTAATAAGTATTCTACATTTTTTTGCGGTATGCAAACTTATTCGGCTTAAATTGAATGTTATTAAAGCGAACGATACATTTCAATTGATGCCTCCATACATACACGTATTTACATATTACATACTCGAATAATTAAAGAAATAAATGCCTGAAAAATGAGCGTTGATTGTTGCGCTGACAGTTTTAATAGCTTCGCCGCTGACGTCCGACGATGTGTGTATTATTTATCACTGCCAGTGAAAATTATTATGTACATGCATATTTGTATGTGGTAGCAAATTATAGTGATTATGCTTGTATATCATATATTCATAAATATTTTTTTGTAGAATTTCTTAAAGAGTTAGTGGCTTCTAAGGGTGATTATGAATATTAAAGCTTCCTTTTACGTCAATTTTTTTTAAGTTGGCTTAACCTGACTTTCGAAACACTTTTCTGTGGCTTTAAATTGTTTAGAAAATGTTGAAAACTTTTATTTTCGATAATCAGTTAACCAAAATATATAATTTAAGCTGCAAACTTCCTTATGACCGTCTGAGATTTTAGTTCATTGATTTTTTTTAATTTTTTGTTATTTTTTGTTATTTTTTTTTAATAAAATTTTATTTCTAATTATGACAAAAGCAGCAGATTTAAATAAAAAAATTATTTCCACAAAATCACATCTCAGACTGTGCTCCGTAGTTGATCCGGAGTTTTTTTATCTTATACGGCGAAGGTCTGTCACAGTTTCGGCGACCCAACCCAACCGATAAATTTAGTTTATGTACTTCAACGGTACACCTTACAGTAGTAGTTGCTCCAGATTCTTCTCATCAATGCTGTTTCGACGTTCTGCTACGTGCGCCATTGACAACTACAGCATTTTTCCATTTTGGTTCGATGATTTGTCTGGTTTGATTGGTACTGTATAATGGTGCGTGTCTTCATAAGTCGGAATGTGATATCCGTTGGATGAAATTCTTGCGCTAGCATACGTCCTTTTGGTATGTGCTTTTGTCTAAGCATCACTCATAAGTGAAGCGATGCATATGTTGCCTCAAACTATAAGAGTCTGCCCCCGCAAACAAATACTATACCATAGCTAACTCTAATCAAATGGCGTCAGCCCGCCATCGAGTATAGTAATACAACTACAATACTCTACACTGACAAATCATTGCCTCAACTCTCATACAATAATACAATGGTCTTTCCGAACCAAACCAATTTCTTTAACTGCCAAGGTCTCAGAGAAAATAACTCTCGTCCATAATCGAGCCAAAGATCGATAGCCTGCATCATGAACGATGACTCTTCCATTAGAACTATGCACAATTGTCCCCGCTTGTCTGATATTAAAATGATATATCGCTGGTCTGTAAAATATCATAACTTGGCAACTTATGCTGGCCTTCGCATCCTTGATAGATCTGGCGACTTTGTTGCGCGGATCATCATATCTACATATGTATTTATATATGTCTACTTTTACAAATCTGATTGGTTCGGCTTCAAATGGCCTACCGAGAACACCTACAGTGTCCTCCCAACCGACGTTATCATAGGATTTCATCAATATCACAAGAAATGTGGAAACCTGCGTCCAAACTTCCCAACTAAAGCGGCGGATCTGACTGATCGCAGTGATTTGAACTCAAAGCACTTAGTTCGGTGATTCAGCAGTTGGTAAATCAACATAAGTGAACTGAGCGGGGCGCACAGGTAAAGTGATATTATAATAGAGTGTTTACAGTACTTGGCTCCTACCTAACCAGACTCAACCGCGACAGATTTAAAGTATGCGCTGCATGGAATGAGTTCCCACATGACTCTAACCACTATTTTGCGCTTGCCCAATGAAACCCATTCTTATAAAACCCATCTCGAAACAGCTACTTTCCGCTTTCCTCTAGCTTGTTCTTTGGCGGAGTTGAGCAAGCTGCTGAACAACAATAACACATTTCTTAGTAGTGAGAGTTCTGCGTGAAATCCAACGCAGATTCACTGTTACCAACTGGTGCTACTTTGGACTGAGTAGGTAAATGATAAGTAAAGTCCTCTCGCGTGGACAAACTCAACAAGTCCTCCATTCCCGTCCTGTTTTATGGTGCAGAAGCGTGAACGATTTCGACATCAGTTGAGTAGGTTTTAAGGCAGCTTTATGTTTCTCTACTAGCTGAGCACAATGAGCGGTACGAGTTATGCCTTGAAATAGTTCAGCGAATCAAGAAACAGTGACTGCGCTGGCTAGTTCATTTGGCCCGGATGTATGCAAGCGCTCCAGCTTGGATAAGTTTCTGGTAAAATCAGAGGGAGAAGAAAACCTCCACTACGTTGGCAAGGCTAGGTAGAGAAGAACCTGACTGTACTTGGTATTTCCAATTGCCGTCAAACTGTGATGAATGGCGCAATGCTTGTAACTCGGCTGTAATCGCGTAAGCGGTGTCTATGTTGATAAAGAAGAAGAAAAATAGTGAAATTTTCTTTTGTATTTATAATACAAATTCAAAATCGACCAATCGGATATTTATACCCCCATACATCATACAGTCAGAGAATATCATGGCAAACCAAGTCCAAATATTCACAACTGTCTATAAGTTATTTTTATCTGTCTGTGCAAAACGTAAAGGCACAAATAAACATAACAAATAAATATAATTCATAAAGACAAAATTTATAATACCAACGGCTCATTGAGTTTTGCGGTGTTTCCTATTCAATTACATGCTTCTTGAATTGACAAAATCTCTCGCTGCACTTGTTAATGCTTTAATTTATACAAATTAAGACAAAGATCGACAGCGACAAGGCGACGATTTAAATTTTTATTTTTAAACTAATTTTTATAGGCTTTAATGCATATATATATATATATATATAACTGTGTTTATATACTGTACTTATATACCTTGCCATGGGTATATGTGTATCGACGGCCGACGACTGTTGCTATCGAATCTCATACGTTTAACATACTCGTACATATGTGTATGTAAAATCTGAATGAATAATGACAATGTTTCAATGGGTACGTCAAAAAATGATATCTAACTGTATC